ATTTTATTTTAGAGAGAAGAGAGAAAAATCTTTTGAAAGAGATGCAGAGTTTGAGTTAGTGGAATATGTCACTCGAAGAGAGACACTCAAATATATTCGAGGGTGTGAGCATATGTGTATTTTCGAAATATTCACACCCACCCACACTCATACTTACACACACACTTTTATATCTTAAAGGTCTTTTTCTACAATACATGTCTCTTGATATTTATTGTTTACCTTACCAATGGATATTACTACCCATTTTCGTCTCAATAAGATTAGAATTTCTCTCTACGCGCGCGCATTTAAAACAATTTATTGTTTCTTTTTCATAAAAACATTCATAGCAATACAATTTATTATTTGTTCTTTACATCTTCGAGGTTATTTGTATATAACTGAAGATCAGGATGATTTGAAGGTAATGATTGTTGTGCAATTTGTATAGCATGTTCATAACATGTACGAGCTTTTGAGTAATTACCCATGTCTTCATGTACTAAACCGATGTTGTTGTAAGAAGAAGCCAAACTGGGATGATTGGAAGGAAGTGATTGTTGTTTGATTTCAAGGGCTTCTTCATGAGATGAAAGTGCTTTTGGATAATTACCCATGTTTCTATGTACCAAACCAATGTTGTTGTAAGAAGAAGCCAAATCAGGATGATTGGAAGGAAGTGATTGTTTACTGATTTCAAGGGATTTTTCATGAGATGAAAGTGCTTCTGGATAATTACGCATTTCGGCATGTACATTACCAATATTACCGTAGGAATAAGCCAAATCAGGATGATTGGAAGGAAGTGATTGCTGTTGAATTTTAAGAGCTTTTTGGTGGGATGAAAGTGCTTCTGGGTAATTACTCATGCTTCTATGCACATTACCGATGTTGTTGTAGGACATAGCCAAACTAGGATGATCAGGAGAAAGAGTTTTTCGATAAATAGCAAGTGATTTTTCATAGAGTGTAAGTGCTTCTTCATATTTTCCTTGATCATCTTTGATTAAACCAATATTAGCATAAAGTGGTGCCTTATCTTCATCATCGTTTGTTTGATCAAGTAAAACTTTATAAATCTCTTCAGCTTTGTCAAATTGACCCATATCAATTAGTACTGATCCCAATCGTGCCCATCCTTCAGAGTCTGGATAACTCTCTTGTCGAATATAATCTGTAAGTCTTGACAACTCTGGATCGTTATCAGCAGTTAGTATCAAATTAACTTCATATAGACGATTATTACCATCCATCTGTTTAATATCGCGTATACGAAAAACGCTATGCATAGAAAATAAGACTTCATCTTCTTCTTGGAACTTACTAATTCCAGCAATGGAGGCAAATGCTGTTGTTGATTGTTCAGGATTAATTTTCATGATAAAAAGAACTCCTATTTGATCTGGATTTGTTATAGCATTTTGAGCAAAACCCAATGATACGTTGCGAGCTGTACTAGTAGATAAGAAGTTATTGAAAGAAATCAGACCTCCTTTGGTTTTCATCAGTTGTTCGAAGTCCCCTGTAGATAATCCTTGACCACGGTAAACGATGAAGGTGTCAGCAGTAGTTATACTAGTATATTGTTCTTGATGCAGTTGTTTAATGTGTTGATGTAAATCACTGATAAAGAAACCCATACGTATAATGATATCACCATCCATCAATCGTAATGCACGATTGAGCATTGGATACAAGAACATGTCACAGGTGTACCAATAAATTGGTGTTCTTCCGTAATATTCCTCTTCCAATTGTTTAATGTTTTCAATTTCTTTTGCATTACCTTTAAAAGCATTGCGACAATAATCGATATAATTCTGGATGTGTGCTTGCTCGAATTCGATGGTTAATAAGATTTCTTTGATAATTTGAGTGTACATAAAAGAAGGATCTAATTGATCCAACCTTTTATTTGATCCGACGAAACTCATGGGAATAGCATTTTGTTCACATTGATGAGCTGCTGATTTGAGTGCTTCACAGATGGATGTAATATCTGTAAAGACACCCTTTATTTTGGGCCAATCTTTTGTCCATTGTTCATGACGTTTTCTGTTACCACAGAAAATAAATATTGAATCAATTTGGGACATACTATACACGCGAGGTACAATATGTTGTCCAAGTGATCCAGATATGACCATGCATACCTTTTTGTCGATGATTGTTTGAATAAATTCCAGACATTGATCTGCATCTGTAAATGTATTGGTGTCGTTGACAGCTTGTCGCAATTGTGCGATTGTATTTTGACAATCGTCGTTGTTCTCGTCGATATTGTTGTCTAACCAGATTAGAAGTACATTTTGCATGCGTTGAACATTGATACGCCGACGAATTTCTGCACCGTTTGAAACTGCCGATGCATTTGTTGTTGATTGTTCTCTGCTCATTGTTTGCTTCGTGAATAATTTGAATTGTAGTTACTGTGTAAAATAGTTCTTTTTATAGGTGCCCACTTCTTTTCGAAATGTTTTTTTCGTCTCTTTAACTGTTTATGATGTTGCTATGAAAAATAAACATCGAAACAGTGCGCAAAAAAGAATGGTTTTGTTTCTTTCCACAGAGAAAAACATTGTTGAGTCATGTTCGTTATTTGATGAATCGCTCACGTTGACAACATGTTTGTTGATGGCAGAAATTTGTGTTTTAAAAAAATGTATTCGTCATCAAACGAACGGTAGTCATTATAATAATTCTTGATCTATATACAAATATATGAATATATCACTACTTTCGAAATAAATTAAAAACTAGACGAGGAAAAAAGAATCTCAATTTTGTTTTCTTTGCGACGATGCAATCATGAATGACATAAAATATGAATCAAAATATAAAAGAACATTTCACAATAATGAATTTTTTTCTGAATATTTTTATATACAAGTATAATTTTCTCTGCTGTAAAGATAAGATATTAGCAGGCTCTATGTGATTGCATTGAGATATACTTAACGATAAAGGAAAGATACACTTGTAATGAACAAACGAAAAGAAAATTTTATCATGCTTTATTCTTTTACAAATGAATTGTAAATTTCAATTACATCTGAAGGAGAGCTTTTAGCAGAGATCTGATGATGATCTCCTGATTTTTTTGACTAGAAATATTGAATATATGCTCAGCGAAAATTCCTATAATAAAATCACAATATACACCTATTTGTTATTCTTGTTGCACATAAATCACCAAGCTTGGCATATCTTCAAAGATCTTTCCAAGACAAACACTTTTTGGTTGTCGAAAAGTAAGAAGTGTATGTATGTTGTTTACAAAATATAATCATTCTGCGTAAAAAAAATGAAAGTTGGTAGAAGGATTAGTTGGCTGTGCACAAGGTATTGTTTGGCTTCGTCTGAAACTATGCAAATATGACGATCATTAGTGATCAACAAAAGATATACATTAGCAACGAACAAACAAAAAGTAAAACAGTATAATGTATTTTTATTATCATTGTCGTCTTTTTTCGTTCTGATCGATACAGTCAGTGGCAATCATCTTGAGGGTGTGAGTGTACGTATGACGATGCTGTTAGTGAATGTTGGTTAGAGTATTTGTGCTTTAGCTACATCCACACCCACATCCCATCGAAGGCTATTCACAATAAAAAACTACCCGATGGTTTTTGGACTATGCCGTACATTTCTACTATCTATTGTTATTTCACCATCATCTTGCAATATGTTATCTAGTATATATATCTGCAGATTTTTATTGTTGTAAGACAAAAATTATTGTTGAATTTATTTTGCTATGGAAAGAACAAAGAGAACACGAAATAAGAGTGTTATCAGTTGTGTCAATACCAAGAAAAGAAAAAGTAATGACGAAACGTTTTATTTGATTAATAATTTTATCTTTTTAATATATTTTTCTAGTAACAACGCTCGGCACAAACTAGTAATTTGTCACATCTTTTATTTTACTCATATTTTATTATAATTATTTTTAGTTTATCAAAACAATCATCTTTTACTCATTTTGAAGATTTATCAAACGAAGTGATTTATGAAATATTAGAATTTCTTGATTATTTTCATATTTATCAATCATTTTATAATCTTAATTCAAGATTTCGAAAATTCTTGACTTGCTCAAATTTTCCTATCAAAATCAACATTTCATCTATATCACGATCAAATTTTCAGGATTACTACACTGATATTATCATTCCCTATCAACATCGAATTACTTCAATTTGTATACGAAATTTATTTTTTAATTGTGATGTCTCATTACATATTATTCTATCAAAATTTATTCAATTGGAAAGACTTATCCTTGAAAATATAAGTTCAGAATATGTAGAAAATATTCTTAAAGACATTGCTTGTTTGCCTAATCTTTCTTCATTGGTTATCATTGTTGAAGATCATGTTAAAAATGTAAATGAATGTTATCTTGATATATTTCGTTTACTTAAATTGAAATACTGTAAAATATCATTGGGAAATTATAATTTCATATCTGATTCGCTCCCTTATGCTACTAATGAATTTAGTTCAATTGAACAACTTGTTATTAAACATGAAGTTTATTTCAAAGCTATTCATAGATTATTATCATATGTTCCACAACTTCGTCGTTTATCGCTTAATTATTCTTATAATCACTATGACAGAAATCAACCAAGTCAACCAATTATATTAAATTCTTTAACACATTTGTTTCTTAAATTAAATAAAGTCAGTTATGATGAACTCGAACAATTGACTAAGACGTTTTTCTGTAAAACTCAAGTTTTATATCTGCATGTAACAAATTGTCAAGAATATATTAATATCAATGATAATCGATGGAAACAATTAATATTATCTCATATGCCGTTTTTACGTGTTTTTGATCTTTACATTGATTATCATATTCATCAAATAGGTGAATTGCAATCAAAAGAATCTAACTCTCCATTATGGATCAACCGACAATGGGTTTTTAATCATGGAAGTAGTTATTCAACAAATTCGTATAGGTAAAAATATATTACTTTACTCAATGAAATATATTTACATAATTTTGTTTTTTGAAGGAGAAAAAAATATATATTAAAAACAACAATAAATCAACAGATTGATTTAAATTATCAAGAAACTAATCTGAATTCAGTTCGTCATGTCTGTTTGTGGGGTAGAGTAGCAATAGATAATTGTACCTATCGCTTTCCTAATGCGACTGATCTTACTCTTGAATGTATTTCTTTGGAAAAATTAAATAACACTATCACTACTCTCAAACATTTAATTCCTTGGGAAAATCTTACTAAACTAGAGATCAATTCTCAATCGAATTCGTTGGAAATATTGATAAGAGTGTTACCATTAACACCAACTATTGTCACAGCAAAAATTGATCGTGTTGTAGTGGATTCAAAAGATTTTGTAGCAATTCGAAATCGTGCAAGTTTTCGGTTAGCATCGAGTGTAAACATTATTCGAAATTTAACTGTGGACGAAATAAATGAAGTAGAAGAAGCTAAATTATTGTTTATTTTATGCCCTCGATTACAACATTTCACAATTACTGGAACTAAAACTGCATGTGCTGCACCAATAGTACGTTCACTACTTTCAAAAGATAATGAATATACTCGTCATCTAATTTCATTGTGTGTTCCAGCTGACAATTCAAGATATTTGGGTAAAATGGAAGAATTAAGTCAAGCAAAAAAATTACTTTACGATTGTCTTGTAAAAGTTAATTATCGGCACGTATTTCTCTGGCGATGAAATTTAATAGATGATAAAGTATTTTGTTTTTCAATAAATCGTTATTTTCCTTCTATTGAAAAAAAACTGGCATATCTTGGGGGTGGGTGTGTTCTATCGCAGATATTCCCTCGCTCACATCCACACCCTCAAGAATTCATTTTGCTATTATACAGTACATCTTATTTTTCTCTTTACCACTAGATTTTCAAGCACGATTTGAAGTCTTCTCTGCCATTTAATTTTTCGTTCAATTATAATATTGAATGACAAAAGAATAGAATTTGCTTGTCTCTAACAGTAATCAATCACTGAAAATTAATTGATTATGAAATGAATAAGATGACAATAGCTATAACAATTGCACTTTCACTCTCACATTTTCTGTTCATAAAAAATTTATTTATAATAAAAAAAAACTTTATGTTCATTCAATTTTTCTATTCATTTAACAAATTCTTTCAAATTTTTGAATTCGATCATTTCCAGTATCACCTATATAAATATTTCCATCCAGATCAAATGCTAAACCACGAGGTTCATCTAATTGATGTGATTCATTTCCTCCACCATCTTCACCAATTATAATTGTACCTTCATTGTCTCCTTCGTACCATTGCATCAATCGATTATTATCATAATCAACAACATAAATATGTCCACAAGAATCAACAGCAACACCTTGTGGTGAAGATAACTGATGGAGACCATCACCTGAACCATTTCCGCCCGCAACAATTACACCTTCTTTTGCATCTTTTTTCCATTTCATTACACGATGATTATCACTATCAGATATATAAATAGATTGTTCATCATCAACAAAGATAAACGTAGGACGATTCAATTGATTAAGACGATCATCTTTTCCATTTCCACCTGCTACGACAATACCATTTTGTTCTCCTTGTCTCCATCGTCTCACTTCATTTTTCTTCCAATCAGATATATAAAGAAATCCATATTTATCCATAGCTAGTCCATAACAATCAATATCATCAATGATAGTTTGTTTGTCTAATTGCTCTTTATAAAAATATCGAATAACTCTTCTATTTCCATAATCAGCGATAATCAATGAACAATTTTGTTTATCAAGAATAACATCAGTTGGATAACATAAAGCATCTTTGATATTCTCTGCTCGATCTCTTGCAATGATATTTTCTATTTTTTCATTCAATTTCCATTCTAAAATATAATCACGATCATAATTAGTAATAAATAAACTGTTCTTTTCATCGATAAAAAATCCTTGAGGACATGAAAGTTCATGTAATTCACCATCCACTATTGTAATTCCATATTGTTTCCATTTCTGATAAATTGATTCTAAATATAAATAAAAATTATTTTACTGTAATTTTATTCAATTTACTCATTGATTTTGTGATTGAAATCTTTTGAGAATCTTCTTGAATAGAAATCTTTGATGGATCAATAAATTCTTCTGTCATTTGTGTTAATTTACTTTTAAGATGATTTAAATCTATTTCATTATATTGATTTTCTTTTCGAATTTGTTTTAATTGTTGAATTAATTCAAGAAATTTTTTTTCCGATATCATTTGTAAGTATTTTTGTATATTTAATTACCATTTTTCGACATTCTTTTGCTATTTGTTGAATTTTTTCAATTGATTCATTTTCCCATTGATTTATTTTTTCAATTAAAGAAGAATTTTGTGGATTTTGTTTTTGTTCATTAATTCTCTGTTGAAATTGATTATAATTATTAGTCAGAATTTCAAAATCTTGATTTAATTCATGACGGTGTTCTCCTAAATGTTCGTAGCAATATTCACTTGAACATCCTTTACAAAGATATGTTATTTTCTTTGTTTCATCATTACATATAAAACATACTGATTTACTATGTGTCATGTTGCACGAAAGAGAATAGAAAGATCGATATGTGTATAGATATTCTTGTTCATTTTTAAACCAATCAATTGTAAGTCCATATTTAATTCTTTGTAATCTATAGATTTCGTATTCAAATGAATTTTTCTGTACAACGATATTTATACGAGAATTGATATTTGATAAGAGAAGAATAAGTAGATATCGTTCTTTAAAAAAAGATTGAGACAAGAAGGATAATTTCTATTGATTTTTTGTTATTCGATATTCTTATTAAAAGTTTTGTTTACAATTGAAATATTTCAAAATAATTATTTTCATTGCTTTATAAGACTTTTAATTGAATATATAATAAAAGAAAATAGTTCGTCATATTTTTCTTTATTCTATGTCGATGAAATCAAAAGTTTGTCGATGACGAATACTTTTTAATCAAATTTTCATTTTTCAATTATTTTTTTCTTCAACACGAATCAAGTTGGATGTGGGTGAGTGTATATTTCGATAAAAAGAGTAATCAAACCTACATCCACACCCACACCCACATTCTTTTACATCCACATCCTTTTACACCCACAATCATTCACACTCACATTCATCTACACCCGCACCCACATTCTTTCACACCCACACCCGCATTCATCCACAACCTTCTCTTTTTATTCTTCCCGTTTTGTCTTCTGCGTAGTAAAGCGTTGCTATGCTCGAAGAAACATACTTTTCGCGGAATATTCGTTGTTCTCTTTTCAATTGGATTTTTCCCCACTCACCTTTTAGGGTTTCTTTTTCTTTTGTCTCTCTCTCATGCCTATTTAAGAAGCTGACATGAATGAGAAAAGCTAGTTAATCTGTTTTTTAGAATAAAAGAAAAAAAAAGCAACAATAACAAATGGTCGAAGAAGTTTCAGAAACGGAATGCGGTGTTGAGGGTAAACGGCCGTGCAGAAACTGTGGTTGTCAGGACTATAGACCATGGACACAAGGTACTTGCGAATGTACTCATCATATTAGCCAGCACGCATAAAAAGGCTAGTGTATGATGCTTGTTAAACACAAATTACAATTTGGCATTAATAAGTAATTTTAATACTTATCCCCGCTTAATATATGACAAAATCCAGAATTCTTTTTACTAAATTGAATGTTTAGTTTCTTTTTGAAATCTTTTTATATTCATTTCTGTAATTATTCAAGCATAATAAAAAAAACCTTCAAATCTACTAATTTTTGTATTTATTGTGATCCAAGCTAATAATTAGAAGGAGAATGATTGTGGGAATACGACTATTGTTTTCATCTTATACTTATATGCACACCCACACCCAACTCCAGTTAAACGATCAGCAAAGTCAGCTCTAAATTTAAACTCCACTGTTGCTATTGTCTTAGTGACATATTCTGTACAGTGAAGCCTTGTATAAAGCAGGAAAGTTTGAAAAGACTTCTTTCACCAAGATATCTCATTCGACAAACGAAAGTATTTGAATTATTTCTAATGCATATATGTACCAAATCCTGATGACAAAAATCGACTTTCAGTAGAGAGCTTAGCAGCGTTTGCCACGCGTTACTTGTAGACTATTAAACTTGAGTATATTGATTTCATTCTCTCTCGTTTTCTTGCTTTTGAAACCAGTAAAAAATCAAATAAAAGAGAAATATAATAAAATCAATGACAAGATTTGTTTTTATTATTTCTGTTGCTTCTACGGGAACAATCGCATTTATTTTACATATCTTGTTTCATCATAAAGAGATGATAGATAATCTAATTTCATAGTCTAGAGTTATGTCACATCAAAAAACAAATATGAATTGAAAATTTCAAGCTTTACAGTTGTCTTGTTAGGCAAAATTATTTTATTACAAATAACTACCAGCACCAGTGTTTTTGTTTTATTAGTAAGAAAGTAGTAATGGCTTGCTCGTTGTCCTTTTCTTTCTTTTTTCATCCATTGAAAATAAAATTCAGTAAAGTTGTGATATTTGAATGATTTTTTTTCTCTTCACAAACACACTTACAATCTCAGTTGACGACCTATACACATTAAAAAAAGTGCATTCATGTTGTTTTTTCACAAAAATACGAAAAGAATTATTTTAGTTTGTAACTATAAAATTGGTTGCCTCTCGTTCGATTATTTCACAACGCTTCAATAATAAACGTAACGAAAAATAATAAAAGAAGAATATTCGTCACTTAATAATTCATACTATTGTGTTACACAATGGCGAAATTTTTGGGTTCAAGCTTCATCTTTTTATTCTATGTGCTACTTTTAGTGTAAGTATTAATTATCAAGTTCTACATATTATATACTTTTTTCCTACGTCTTCAACGATAGAAACACATCAGAACAACAACAACAGATTAGTAATTAATAATAATGACTATTCTTTTTTTTTTCTCTATTTTCTTATTATTTATGTCTTAGTTAACTCAACAACTACAGCAACATGTAATTTTACTGCATGTAATTCTCAACGAATATCATGTTCATCGAATCTTGATTGCGATTGTTTTTCATTAACATCCCATTCGAACGTAGGAATATGTGCTTCAGCTATTTTCTCCTGTGCAAGTTTTGTACGATGTAATATGGATAATGTCACTTGTTCAATCGAGAGTACAATCTGTGTGAATAGTACACGATGTGGTGAACCAATATGTTATCCATTAGCTATGGCAAACAAACAAATTTGTCCACCAAAAATTGTTTCAAGTAAAAAAAAAATATTCTAATAAATATTTTAGTTTTATTTGTTATTTTCTCTCAAAATAGCTACAACATTACATACAACAGCTCCAGGTAAGTAATTTTGTCTTGTAACTTTTAAAATGACTAGAACAAAAATAATTAGTTGATCTTGAATAAGTTATTTCTATCTTTTTATAGTACCTACAACAAGCACAGCTAAATCTACAACAAAGAGTAAATATGATTTCATTATATTTTCTTTTTAAAATCTATTTATTTTGTGGCTAACTTATCCGTTCTTAATTCAGGTGCTACAATAACTCAGAAGCCTACAAATACAACTAAAGCATCAACAACAACTCCGAAGACCATAAATACCACTAAAGCAGTATCAACAACAATTCCGAAGGCTACAAATACCACTAAAGTACCAACAACAACAAGTAAAATATGCAGTATCATTGTCACTAATTCTAACTCATAGTTTTTTTTCTTCTCTTGCTTTTCAGTCCATTCCGAGACTACAACTGGTGGACCTAGCACAACCACTAGTAAGTATTCAATAGATAATTATCTGTTTATTAAAGTATATTTTCATTTAGAAGCATGCTCATTTTCATTTGCACCGATGGTTTCATATTCCGCCGGTGTAACTCCACAAATGATTGCTACTGGTGATTTTAATGGTGATCATCGAGCAGATCTTGTCGTCACTAATGTTAATAATGATACAATTAGCGTATTTGATGGGAATGGGGATGGAACTTTGACAATAAAAACATCATATGCAACTGGACGTTCTCCATACGGAATTGCAGTTGCTGATTTTAATCGCGATAATCGATTAGATATTGTCGTTGCTAACAATGGTCAAAATAGCATTAGTATACTATTTGGTTCTGTTAATGGTAGTTTTACGCCACAAACTGAACTTGCTGCTGGCTCTGGTCCTTGGAATGTCGTTGTTGGTGATATTAATAATGATAATAAATCTGATATTATTGTCACTAATTCTGGAAACAAGAGCGTAAGTGTCTATCTTGGAAATGGCAATGGAAGCTTTTTAGTACAAAAAACATTTGCGGTTGGTTTCTTTCCTGTTGGCATCGCTCTTGCAGATTTTAATAATGATAAACATCAAGATATTGTTGTTACCAATGCTGGCAATGGGACTATAAGTATACTTCTTGGAGCTGGCAATGGAGCATTTGCAAATCAAATAATAATTTCAACTGGTTTTAATGCTTGGGGAGTGGCTGTCGGTGATTTTGACCAAGATGGCCGAACAGATATTGCTCTTACTGATCGAGATAATAATGGAGTTAGTATTCTTTTTGGTAACGGTAATGGATCTTTTGCAAGACAAACACAGTATTCAACTGATGATGGTCCATGGTCAATCGTAGTTAGTGATTTCAATGGTGATAATCGACAAGATATTGTTACTGCCAATACGGGCGATGATGATGTAAGTCTATTTTTAGGTGTTAGTGGTGGAAATTTTGCATCGGGAACTATTTATTCTACTGGTCAATATCCATTTGGACTTTGTGTTAATGATTTCAATGGTGATGGTCGACAAGATATTGCTGTTGTAAATCAAGTAGATTCCACCGTTGGCATTATTTTAAACAATTGTCAATAATATAATCTTTTTATTTTATTCGAAACAAATCAGACAATTTTTATTTAGGTTGCTATCCATAGTTTTATCACTCTGTGTGTTTAAATTTAATTTTTTTTTCTTCATGTATTCTTTCTTATACTCACATTTGTATACTTTTCTTAAAGAACAACATTTCTTTTTTTTTTTATTTTACGTGTGACAAAAAAAGAATGTACTATTACAAATTATTTTTTCTTTGCACTTATAAAAACAATTAATTCAAAATAAAAAAAATTCTTCTTGCAGTATTTATTGATAGTGCATAGTTCAAATAGATGACAGTGATGAATTCATTTTTTAAATAATATAATCATTCTTCTAATCATTTGTTTAGAAGAACTATTAAAATATCGAAATAAGATTGTTGTTGCTTTTTTTTCTCATTCTTTTCAGTTATTACTGAATTTTACGATGGTATTTATGAATGTAAACAAAAAGAAAAGAAAATGAGAGACATACATTAAGAAAAATATTTCTTTTTTAATCACATGGCTACATCAATTGGTAAAACACATTGTACTATTTGTAATAAAGAAAAAGTTACATACAAATGTGTTGGATGTTCCGAAGAATTTTGTTATAAACATTTAGGTGATCATCAACAAGAATTAAGTAAACAATTTGATGAAATTGAACTCAATCGTGATATATTTCGTCAATCACTTACAGATAATGTTCAACAATTAAATGATCATCGTTTATTTCAAGAAATCAATCAATGGGAACAAAATTCAATTGAAATTATTCGACAAACAGCAGAAGAAACAAGAGAATTATTAATTGAAAGTTTAAATGAATATTTTCATGAAATGGAAAAAAAAATTAAATAAATTAACTGATCAATTAAGGCATATGCGTCAAGAAAATGATTTTAATGAAATACATATACATGAATGTCAAACAGAACTTAATCGATTAACAAAAGGACTTACTGAATCATCAAAAATTGCATTACAACAAGAAGAATCAAATTCATTGATTAGTAAAATATCTATTCATGTACCAGGTAAATAAATTTTATAGTTTATATGGAATATATATATTTCTTGATTTTAGAATCATCAGTATTAGATTCAGATACTTGTAATAGTTTATGGGCACAAGATGGTGTGACAATTGCTGGAGGAAAAGGAGTAGGGAATGATTTAAATCAATTGTTTCGTCCAGTTGGTATTTGTATGGATAGTGAACAAACAATTTATATTGCTGATACTGAAAATTATCGTATTATGGAATGGAAATATGGTGCAACTAAGGGGAAAATAGTAGCTGGTGGACATGGACCTGGAACGAAAATGAATCAGTTAAATCGTGCAGTAGATGTTGTTATTGATAAAGAAGGAAAGAATCTTATTATTTGTGATCAAGGTAATCGACGAGTAGTAAGATGGTCTCGTCAAAATGGTACAAGTGGACATACTATTATTTCAGATATTGATTGTTCAAGATTAACTATGGATAATAATGGATATTTATATATTTCTGATAGAGAAAAACATGAAGTTAGGCGATGGAAAATGAATGATACCAATGGAACATTAGTAGCTGGTGGAAATGGAAAAGGAGATAAACTTAATCAATTAGATAATCCTACGTTCGTTGCTATTGATGATGATAATTCAGTTTATGTATCAGATTGGAATAATCATCGGATAATGAAATGGATGCAAGGCGCAAAAGAAGGCATTGTTGTTGCTGGTGGCCAGGGAAAAGGAAATAGTCGTGCGCAATTGTCAAATCCTCAAGGAATAGTAGTCGATCAATCGGGTAGTATCTATATAGCTGACTATACCAATCATCGGATAATGCAATGGCCAAAAGATGCTACAGAAGGATTTGTTATTATCGGTGGTAATGAACAAGGAGAAGAATCTAATCAACTCAATCGTCCTATGGGTTTATTATTAGATGATGAAGGACATTTATACGTTGTTGATCAATGGAATGCAAGAGTGCAAATTTTTCACTTTAATTAAAAATAAATTTTATACATTAAACATGTATTTTTAATTTATAAAATTCTTTAAAAATTTTGTTATTGTAGAAGTATTTTAAACGGTAATAAAACAAACGGAGCAATCTGTTCAGGTTTCTAACAATGTTATAGCTAAATGTATGTAATACAGATTGCATTAACTATTGGAAAATGATGCTATGCGTGAAGATTCTCATATTATCACTTACAAACGACAATAAATGATCAATAATTATTTTGTTCCAATGAATCGATAATCAGAAAGATTCACAGCGAGCTCTTTTTTTTACATCCACATCCGTATTTGTGAAATTTTCAAATGAAAAAATATAATCGTTCGAATAATCACTGAATAAGCGTCTAATTTTAAATTATCGAAAAATTTAATTTTTTTTGTCATTCTATATGTAAATGTTTACTCTTACCTGTAATTTATTCATGTAAAGAAATCAAACTCATTTGATATAATGAACAGATTTAGTCAAAAAACAAAAATTGAGTTTAATGTGCCTCTATGGCTCAGTGGTAGAGCGCCAGTCTAGTAAACTGGAGGTCCGCAGTTCGATCCTGCGTGGAGGCATCTTGTTTTTCTTATTATTGATCATCAAATATTTGAAATAATTTTTAAGAGAGAGACATAGATTCATTCATTGTCTTCTCTTCTTAATCATTATTTTATTTTTTGATTCATGTTTTAATTTACATTCATACTCTTTCACAAAAAAATCTAAAATTTATTATATAAGAAAATGATCTCTCTAATTTAATCGATGGATTAAAGTTTATTTCATTATAAGTGAATTTAATCGATGATAATTGTCTTCATTTAACATTTTCTAAAATCTTTCTCTTAAAATCCACGGTATATGCACATTCATTGGTTAAAAAAAAAATGGAATATTTTGATGAGGATGTTCTTTAGAGACTGAAATTTAAATAGAAATCTTAACGAAGCCAATTGAAATTTTGTACTAATTTCAAATACATTTTCAAATTCAATAATTTTTATTAGTGAATGTGAGTATGAAATGATATTCCACATCCACATTCTATTTGATTTAAGAAAAATGTATTTGTCTGATAGTACAATCAGTCAATACTTATTTAATTCTTCCGTTTTGTTATAGCGCTTTAATTGGATTGGTGAATTCAAGATACAATAACCTTTATGAACCATATATAAAAAGCAATGACAATGTTCAATTTGTCTAAAAATAGACAAGACAAATGGATTATTCAACAATAACTCGATTAGAAGATTTACCTGTAGAAATTTTAATGGAAATATTTATTTATTTTCCAGCTGATAAACTTTATTTCTCGTTCGCTCAATTAAATAATCGTTTTAATTTAATTCTCAAATCATTATCTAATCTGGCTCTTGTGATAAATGAGCATGTCGATTCTTCTGTACTCTCTTTTTTCTATTCATTCAACAAAATTCTCGTGAAACCTGATAAGCTATATATACGTTGTAATTGTAAATTCCATTCGATAAACGGTGGTAATTATTTATATGAAATTTATCCAGATTCAGATAACTGGTGGTATCCTCATTATTCTGAGGAAATTGAAAATATTATTTGTTCTGATATATGTTCTCAATTACAAACATTAGTTTTACCAGCTACTTCACTTCATTTGACTCAACTCATATTTTGTGGTAAATTTTCTCGTTTAAGAATTTGTCATCTTGGGAAATGCAAACCAATTATTTTTCCTCTACCGACGACTGTTCACCTGCACAATCTTCGTCAATTAACTATACGACAACAAAATGGATGTGCATTAGAAACAATTTTATTGATCTGTCCTTCTTTGGTGTATCTTGATTTTTCATGTGATGACGCTATTCCTTCATTTGTTCACACAAAAAATTATTGTTTTTCATCGATGAAATATCTTCGACTTGGCCGATTGAAAAAATTCTTTTTTCACAATGGCGAATTTGATTTTCTGCTCTCGCTTTTTCCAAATCTTCGACAATTTTATCTAATTGCTGATCAACCTTATGTCAACGTTGAAACAATTGAATTTAGAGAAATTGCATTGTGTTTACGCCATCAATGTCCATTATTAAAAATATTAGTCTTATGCATTTATATGCAAGGACATATGAGTTTTCATCGTTCTATTCGTAGTTTCAAAGAAATTACTCAGATGCATGACCTTTTCAATTATGTCGACAAATGTCAGTCACGTTTAATAATTTCTTCGCATGGTTTTATCCAACATCATGTTCGTAGCTGTCGATATTCTCGTCCTTCCTCTAAATAATTGTATCTTTGAATGACACATATCGTTATTTAGCTTACACATCATTTTCATGTCATATTCTACTCTTATTCTATTGAAATAAAATTATCAAAATGAAAAAGAATAAATTTAATAACATGCAAAGTACATCTCCGATAAAGGTGTGGGTGTCGTGTTCAACTACTACCTACACTCATCCTCAAGTAGTAAACCAAAAGAAGTTAGCATTTTTTTATTATGAAAAATTCGTTTTAGTATTGATTTCTCGATTAAATTATACAAAAATAAAAAACAATTGTAGATATAATTTAAAAGTTATAAATATATAAAATTAATTTACTCAAAAGTTTATAAACTGATTTAAGTCTGAATGATGTATTCGTTGTTTAATATTCTTGAATATATGCACTAATATTTGATAAAATACAAAAAACACGGTTCATTATAGTTTTTCGTTAAGTCAGATGGACGATTATAGATATGATTACTACTAGAATACATATTCCAGTTAGTCCAAAAGCAACGCATAATTGAATTAGCGTAGATTTTAAATTTGGAAGGTCCAAAATTATTAAAGTAACATCCGAAGGACGATAGTAACAAGTAAAACTGGAACCAATCTATATAAAAGAGAATATAAATTATATCAGAATATTAAACTATACCTGTGTTTGTTGATATGGATTTCCTCTATCCGAACTTGAAAAGATACTTGTGACATTAGTACCATCTGGGATAGGGTATTTCAATGAAAATCGTTCATCGAAACATGTATAATCAGTACAATAATTGCTTGTACAGTCTTGACACGTATGTTTAGTGACTGTATAATTTAATATTAGACATGTTGTTGCAGCATAATCTTTTCGTGTATTTTTATATTTTGCATATTGCGATGCCGCAGTTGATCCCCAAATGATACATCCAATAAATATCCCACATAAAAAGCATCCTATGATATTAAAGCATGCATCCCAAGACGTTTTCATTTTTTTAAATAGCTGTAGTTAGTTTTCGTACCAGTATTTATTCAAGGATTTTGTTGGTATTTTCTCCAAGATAGTTATCACGGAAGTAAGGATGTGAGTGTATAATATTACCCTTCAATGAGTAATTAATAAAATTATAAAAAAAATACAGTATGATTTCACGCATGACTAAAAGAATGATGTAATTTTCACTTTCCATATAGAATATTGTTTAATATTAGTCATTCTAACGGTGAATATGGACAAGAGCATCATATTCAAGTAACATATATACACACATTCTCATTCCTGATGAGATCAAAATACTTGCTGCAGGAACATTAAAACGAAATAAAAAAATTACCTTACTTTACACAGCTTCAACTAAATTTTGTCCATTTATTTTATTGAATTCTTTTGAAACTGAACTGATCACTTTTCCAACTATATTTTCTAATATAGTTTAATTACTTATGAATATAAACAATTAAATAAAGTTCAAATACTAGATTATCTCCACATAAAAATCAACTATTATTTGTTTTGATCGATCCAATTGGTCAAAATAGGTACTTTACTATAAATTAAATAAGAGTAAATGTATGATGATTTAATATCTACATTAACATCCTCAAAAGGTATAATATCACTGTTTACCTCCGTATATGAAGGAAAGAGAAAAAAAATAATACAAAAATCAGAGGATCTCTTCATATAAAAGAAATAATATAAAAATGATATTATATAACAGTATTCACATACAAGCATATCATTTTGCATCTTGCCCATAACATTCATTATAAATAAATTCTATCTATACAAAAAATTTAATAAACTATGTTTTTATAAAGATCGTTCATTTTACGATTATTTCGAATTATAAATTGAGTTAAAATATAGTTGTGCTCCAGAATAACTCTTAGATCATGTTATTGTTTCTTAAGTATATAAAAAAATCTTTTTTTTTATTTATTAAAATTGTTCTACTGCATAAAACATAATTATACATTTTAGTTGAGTCTCAGATCGAAAAATGAAATGAAAACTAAAGAAATTTTTAATAAAAATCAATAATCTCATCCATGTTTCTTTTCATATACTCTAGTCTTTGTGAAATATTTTATTTAATTATTCATAAGGATCTTCAGATAATAATATTGATTGAAATTTATAAAATAATCAAGGAGATAGATAACTTGATAGAAACAACATAAAAGTAAAAATAGAAACAAGTGCATTTAACGATAAGTTTAATGAAAATTTTATATATTAAAAGAAAAATAACAATATAATTTAGAATTTTCGACCTTGTACAAGTTGGTGAAGTCGGTCTTCTATATTTTGACTCTACTATGTTTACGATCAAGTTATCTATTCTTTAATATTGACTTATTCACATGCAGTACTTATAAAACTTGAATATTATTTATACATTGGATTGATGTTTGTGTTGATAATTAATTATGTATTATGATTATTATGATATAGTATATGTTTATTACTATGATTACAACATTAACATTAGGGGTAGTAGATATGCTTACTGATGATGACCGTTTTCACCAATTTGCACAAGGTCGACAATTCTAAATTAAATTATATTGTTATTTTCTTTTAATATATAAAATTTTCATTAAACTGCACTTCTTTCTATAAAATAATCAATCGCGTAATACATAATACTTAATTTTAATCCATACAGTCGTTAGCTGTAATGGACGATAAACCTGAGAGATATTATGAATCATAATTAAATACTAATAAATTGATGTATAGAAATCTAACATTAACGGCGACTTTCTATTTTCTGCAAAATGATTCTTGTTTGAATAATAGAACAATTCAATTGATTTTCTCTTTGTTTGTAAGAATTTTTGTTTTAATATTGATTTGCATTTTTGTATTATTTCGTTATTGAGAATTAGTTATAAGATTAATAATTATATTTAAATATTACTCTGAGAGTATTAAAATATTTTGTAAATAAACAAATATCTATTGATTAAAATTTAAGGTTTTTTTTCTGTTTGAAAAATTTCTTGTATTTAAATACCATTTTCATTTTTTTTCAGCCTCGTACACCTTTTCATTGTATATAGATGTCATGAGTATTCAATTTCCACTTTAAAATATTTCGTAAGTAATATTGTTAATTTCATGATGTTAGTAAAAATAAAATTATGATTTAGATGGTTTTATATTCGAATCGAAAATACAATCATGAAGCAAAATACGTCGTTTTTATTACAAAAAATATCTAGAGAGAAGCCATGCTTTTTTTTTTCATCGCTCATAATGACGTTATTTGCGTGTGTTTATTTAAACAGAGAATAACGACGCCTCTTACTCTATCGATTGATATACGTCCTTGGATGACGACGTTATATAAATATAGCTTTGTGAATAAAAGGTGATCATTTTTATTGCTTAAAGAATCGAAAAAAATACACTCAATAATATGGTGTTATATACACGTGTATATAGGAATAAAATGTAATTATCGCTTTTCGCCTATGGATAAAAATAAATACGTATTTTTTTCGCTGTTAAAGATAGAAACGTCTGCATCATGTTTATTGCGTATCAAAAAGTAAAAATTATATTTGCTTGTTAGATAATCGGCGTATATATATACGGTAGAAACACAATTATTTGATCATACGATTTATTTTATATTCAATACCATTACCAAATATACACGATGGCTAGATTATTTATCATCGTTTTGATTGTCACCATCTTAGTGGAAAGCTGTTTCGCCAATGCAATACCTGGCAATAGTCCCTGCGTTTATTAATAATATCCTCTTCATTTATGTCAGAATAGATGTAAGTCGAATATACATAGACGGAATATTCGAACAAAACTGCAATATGAACTATTTACGTATTGTGTTCAAGTCTTATATATGATCTATTCATACTTGTACTTTGAATTCGAGAGTGTATTTGAATCAACATTTTGTTGATATAGTCAATTACTATACTTTTATGAATTATATGACAAACTTCATATTTTGACTACAGAAAGCTGAATATTTGAATAGATTTATCAATCAAATTATTCTTTTCTCATGTATTCTTCAATCATCTGTCTATGCATGTGTTGATCCGCAACGTATGAGATATTCGAATATATCTTTACTGTTTGAACTATTTGCGTGCTCTGTGATCATCAATAATATGATCGATTTTTTTCTTTACTTCGAATCTAAAACGATATTTGAATGATACCTTTTTATAAAGTATTCTTTTGTTGTATATTCATGGATAATCTAATTGAATTCAAATACTTGTTTCTGACTCAACAAAATTTCTCAATAATTTCTTAGTGAATTTCATTCATCTGCTATTCGTTCACCGATCATATGATCAGGTTCAGATTTTTGTTTCGAACTTATTGACATATTTAAATAGTTTCTTGCTAGATTCTATTCATATGTAATGTGTTCGTTGATCATATAGTCAGATTTAGATCTTTGTTTCGAGGTCAAAAAATAACTTAGCAGAATTCTCATACGAGCTCTTCAACTGTCTAATAATTATCAATTAACTAATATCTCTTAAATTGTTGGTTCATCATAATCTAATATTTGAATTATATCCTGATGAAGATCATTCATTGTTTATATATTCTGCACATATCTTAGTAAATCCAGATATAGTGTTTCGTGTGAACAGTAAATTTTAATGAACATGTTGTTGGTTTCATTCATATATCAAGCGATCTTCGATAGTGCGACTAATTTAGGATATATACTATCCAATAAATGACATAATAGAGTCAATATGTTGTTTGTATTATTCATTAGTCATCTGATCACCAAAAGCAAGATTATGTACACATCCTAACTTCAGTTTCAATCAAGTATTTCAATACAATTTTGGTATAAACTATTCATTTGCTATCTGATCACCAAAGGCAAGATTATTTGTACATCTTAATTTCAGTTCCAATCAAATATTTCAATACAATTTTCTTATAAATTATTCATTCGTTAAGTATTCCTTAATCTCGTAATGAAGTTTACATCCTTATTTACAATTCAACAAAATAATTCAATGATTTTTTTATACGTATTGTTCATTTGTCATGTGCATCCATCGATTTTGTGCTTAAATATAACCTTTCTTGAAAGTTAGAAATGTGCTGAATAGTTTTATCCTATGAACTATTCATTATTGAAGTGTGAGTGATTTTGTTGAATATTTGTATTTATTACTTATAATTCATTCAAAATATTTGAATGAGATCGTATTATGTATAATACACTGGTAGCGTGTTTCGCATGAAGATAATAACCTCAAAAAATTTCTTTGAGCTTAGCATAATATTTGAAAATAAGCTTTGTTTAAACTGTATATTTATTGGGTGTACAAGAAATATGTGATCAAATTAATATACTTGTTTTACATACAACTAAATATTTGAAAAGTCTCTTATTATAAACTATTCCTAATTCGTGTATTTGACCTTCATTCAGTTTAAAGTAATCTTTATTTTACTTTCGGCTAAATATTTGAAAAATTTCTTATTATAGACTATGCCTAATTCACGTATCTGACATTCATAGAATCGAAAATAGTCTTTCTTTTAGACTTAACTAAATATATGAAAAGTCTCTTAATATGAACTGTCCTTTACTCGCGTGATTGATGTTGATTCAATCCAAAGTAGTATTTATTTTAGTTTTAGTTACATACATGAAAAGTCTCTTGGTGAAAACTGTCCTTTATTCGCATGTTTGATCTTGTTTTAATCAAAACTAGTCTTCATATACTTTTAGTTAAATATTTGAAAAGTCTTTTCTTGTAAACTATTCCTAATTCGTGTGTTTGATCTGCATTCAACTTAAAGTAGTCTTTATTTTAGCTTCAGTTAGATATTTTGAGGGTTTCTTCCTAGATATTATTCCTCATGCGCGTATCTGATCTTATTGTAATAGAAAATAGTCTTTAGTTACTTTTATCGAAATATTTGAAAAGTCTATTGTTATATACTATTTCTAATATGCGTGTCTGATCTTCACTCAATCCAAAGTCGTCTTTATTTTACTTTCGGCTAAATATTTGAAAAGATCTTGTTATAGACTATGCCTAATTCACGTATTTCACATTCATTCAATAGAAAATAGTCTTTGTTTTAGATTTAACTAAATATTTGAATTTTTTCTTGGTATAAACTGTTCTTTATTCGCGTGATTGATCTTGATTCAATCCAAAGTAGTATTTATTTTAGTTTCAGTTCGATATTTTGAGAATTTCTTCCTAGAAATTATTCCTTATGCGCATATCGGATTTTGTTGTAATAGAAAATAGTCTTTAGTTACTTTTAGCGAAATATTTGAAAAATCT